GGCCTAGGGAATTTTAGCGGGGTTTTTTAGGGGATTTTTAAGGACAATTTTAATGATCGGCCTGTTTAAATATTTCTTTTTAATTCGGCTTTTAATTATTGTATTTGTATTGTAGTTTTTATGAGGCTGTTAGCCGCCCTGAGTCCCATGAGGAGAAGGGCGGGGTATAAATTAAATTAATAAATAAAATAAATAAATATGGGAATGCTATATCTTCTGTCATTCTCTCCTTCTTTGCTTGGGCAGGAAACCCCAAACTCTGACTTTCTTTATCTCTGCAAAAGTCCCTATGTTTCTCCCCTGGGGCTGAACATTGTATTATGAATTGCCTTTTTTCAACTGCCCCCATTTACCCCATCACATTCTCAACTTGATACTTTTCTCTTGTGCAATTCAGTGGGCTGCTCTCTTTAACATCTGGATTTTTTCTTATTGACAGTAAGATTGTATGATAGGCCATTAATTATAGTGTTATATTCCAGTTTAACAATTAGTGGTATAGCAGATTGTGATAACTACTGAAATACACCTAAAGACTCATGATAGCTAATGAATTAATGGGACTTTAGGTTCCTTTATTTGGAGGTTATCTCAATTGTCTTCAATGAGAGTTATTTCTGAGCAGAAAAGTTTTCATATGTGGAGGTAAATAAAAGACTCGAAATGAAGCAGAGTCAGCTACCTTGTTAAATGATGTTGGCCATTGGATAGCACTGTGATTGATGGAGACATAGACTTCAGAAGAGGCTTCTCTTTCTACACTCCCAATTTCCACCCCAGCAGTAGACTTGTTAGGAAAAACTGTCCAGTGGATGATATGAAAGTCAGCATTTTCATCCAAATAAATTCCATCCCTGGAAATATTCTGAAGCTGGAAGTTTCTCATGAATTGATGAAGCTGAATGACAAAGAAAATCACATATACACTGAGTCCTTATTCAATGTTTCTATGGCTATAATTCTGGACTGGAATTACTTTGAATAATTCAACTTCTTTGACTCAGCACTTTGGTCTGCAAGAGGATGATTCCAGATGTTAAGCTTCTGTCCCTACTTTTCTATGGAATACCAGATCTTTTTCACATATACTATACCTTTTACTTTCTTGAAAGAATCATTACATTCTCCTACAAAGTTCTAGTTTAGCATCACAATGTTAACAGCAACAACAAAAAACAAAATTACATAATGCTGACATTTCAAGAGTTAACTGAATGTCATCAGATCCAAATTTTTCTGTGATGCTGTATGAGATTTTCTTGATTTCTTATGCTTTACTTTTTTAGAAAGATCCTGCTTATGTGTGTTTGTACATATGTATAACTCAGACAGCACAGAATCATACTCTGTTTCCTATTCTCTGAAATGGTTCCTTTCTGGAGATCAAACTAACTGTAAATGGCTTACACATTGCATCCTATTTCAGTTCTCCCCTGTCCTTCAGGTGACACAGCTCTGAATGTGGCAAGCCTAACAGGAAATAGGGAAGGATGAGACTCTAGAAAGAGTACAGAGAAGAGCAACAAAGATGATCAGGGAACTGGAGGCTAAAACATATAAAGAACGATTGCTGGAATTGGGTATGTCTAGTTTAACGAAGAGAAGGATAAGGGGGGACATGTTAGCAGTGTTCCAATATCTCAGGGGCTGCCATAAAAAGAAGAGGGAGTCAAGCTATTCTCCAAAGCACCTGAAGGCAGGTCAAGAAGCAACGGATGGAAACTAATCAAGGAGAGAAGCATCCTAGAACTAAGGAGAAATTTTCTGACAATTAATCAGTGGAACAACCTGCCTCCAGAAGCTGTGAATGCTCCAGCGCTGGAAGTTTTTAAGAAGAAAGTGGACAGTCATTTGTCTGAAATCGTACAGGGTTTCTTGCCTGAGCAGAGAGTTTGACTAGATGACCTCCATGGTCACTTCCATCATCATCATCATCACCACCACCACCACCACCACCACTATTACTACTACTACTACTACTACTGCTTTCCATTGGGAGATACTGAGTGTCAGATTCTCTTGTTGTCTAACCCTAGAAAATCATATAAAGAAGTCACTGTCCATCAGATGTGAGAGAGTTTGTCCATACCCCCACAAAGGGGATAATAGAATTCCAAGCTTCTGCTGCTTCACCACCACAACCCCATTTGAGACAGGACAATTTGAGATATTTGAAGGCTTAAACACAGAACATAGAATAACAGAGATGGCAGGGACCTTGGAAGCCCTCTAGTTCAGATCTATAAGAAGTTAGAGGGGCTTAGCTTTGGGCTATGAATGGGACAAAGGTTTCATAGCAAAGTTGTCTCTTTCAAAGACTAACTATTGAGGCATCTGAAGTAATCCAAAATACAACGTTAGGATTAACTCCTTGGCTTGACAACTAGAGAAGATCAGCATGTGCTATCTTGGGATGAGAACTGAAGATTGATGAAGCATCCTGATGCATATTTAATTTCTAAATGGGGAAAATTGCCTTGTCACTATGGAAGTATGTCTTTTATTATAGCACCCCAGATCAGACAGATAGTTTAAATTTGGAAGGTTTATCCCCATAATCTCTTTCTCAACACTCTCAAATACTGCAAACAGGGCAACTGGTATTTAGAATCTCTCATCCCTTCTATTTCCTATATAATATTAAGGTATTGAAAGGGGAGCATCAGTGGAACCTTTAAGAAGTCTTACCTGCCATGGTTGTACAATTTGGAGCGACTGATGGTCTCCAACTTGCATCTTCCTGGTACTCAGTTGGGAGGAAGAGGCAGCATTGAGGACCAAGGCCACAGCTTGGATAGCTTTGGAAATAGAGGAGGCATCCTCAGACTGCATCCTTGCAACCACGTCATGGAGTCGGAATTCCCAGTTCTCTTTTTCTTTGCATCTTTCCCAAACTTTCTTAGACTTCACAGCCTTTGAGTAGGAACACTGGAATGCTTCCTTTCCAAATTGAAAGACAGCAGAAGAATATGAATTAAAGTCATAGTATTGTTTTTTTGCCTTTGTCTGGGTAAGGAAGGAAAACAAAGCATGTTTATGTTGGAGATCCACCCCATAGTCAAACATTGTTATACTTATATCTGTCAAAGTTGTTGCAATCCACACTTTCCCCCCAACGAATGCATTCTTTCTTCCAGAAGTTTGTATTAATCCTGATAGCATTGCTGTGGCCTGAAAATCCAGTTGACAAACTATAATTTTTATTTGACTGTTGATAAGAGAAAAAAGCTTTTGTCTTTTTCTTTTCATAAACATTTTTCCAAGACTTATATCCTTATTTGTTGCAGGGATTGTTTCTGAGAGGACAATGCAAACCCCATTTTTTATAGCTAGAGTTTCCAAGCTTCTTTTAAAGTTTTCTCCTCTTTCATTGTCCTGAGAAAGGAGGCCAATCCATGTCCACTGGAAATGCAGGAGCAGCTGGACAATGGCTGAGCAAGGAGGTTCTTGTTTTGGGGTCATCCGGCAGAAAAAAGGAAAATGATGATTTTTCTCAGGAATGTGGCTAACACCATAGTTGATCTAAGATGAAAGAGAATATATTGGTAGTTTGTGCCAACTTTTAATGATAAAAATCAGATGTTTAAATGTAAGAGCCACTGCTGAGAGAAGTTTACAGAAAACAATACCTACATGAAACTTGTTAGCTCCCTTGGTTTTTTCATCTCCTGTCCTGTTCACTCCCTTTGATGCTAGGCAGCTCTCTCCTAATTTGTCAGTGATCCTCATGGATGAACCTCATGCAAGTACATCCTTCTGGTGAAACTCTACCCATGCAACTAATAGAGTGGATGCAGTGGGGCAATTTTGTTGCCAACAACTAAGGCTCACATTTGCCCTAACACTCTAAGGATCACCCACATAGTAAGTAGTCAGCAAATAATCCAAATAGATATGAACATCTTAATACTTTGGAACAGAAAACTCACCTGATTTACCAGGGACACACATACACAATTACAGAGAGAGAGACAGAAAGAGAGAGAGAGAGAGAGAGAGAGAGAGAGAGAGAGAGAGAGAGAGAGAGAGAGAGAGAGAGAGAGAGAGAGAGAGAG